GTGGATTTTCGAAAATATTTTATCAAGACCTACTACCCCTTATAAACATCGATCTTTTAAAAATATTTTTTTCAAAACCTTTTCAAAATAGATTAAAAAAAATTCAAGATCCATTAATAAACATGGATTTTTATACCTTCAGCCATATCGCTAGAGAGGGTATATATCATTTGATACAGCCAAAACGTGCCTCATCGAAATAAATCCCTGAAGCTCATAAAATGCGAATTTTACTTCCGATTCCATTCAGACTTAGTACATCTGAATAATTTCATCAGCACAAGATGTGTTATAAAAAATGGCAAAGATCGGACAATTCCTTCTGGTACCTCCCCCACAAAGGCTCGAAGTTTTGAATAACGATTATGAAATCCGATATAAGCCTCCGGTTCTCTTCATATTTCTGACATCCCATTATTTCTACTAACAGAAGATCTGCTGTGAAGATGGGATATATCAGTCGACTCCTTCTTGTACCTCCCCCAAAAAGAGTCAAAATTTTCAAAATCCATGGAGCTCATAAAATGCGATATTTACATCCGATTCCATTCAGACTTCGTACATCTCAATAATTTCATCAGCACAAGATGTGTTAGAGATCGGGCCATTCCTTCTGGTACCTCTCCCACATAGAGTTTAAGATTTTTTAAAAACAAACCGCACAAAGAAAGCGAAATAAGCTTCGAACTCTCTTCCAAGATATGTTGTGAAGATAATATAAATCTGCGAACCCCTTCTTGTATCTCACCTATAAAGGACCAATACTTTTATCTATCATAACTTGTGAAACAAGTCAGTCAAAAATAATGGGTCTTGGATTTTTTTATGAACGTTTTTTTTTTCAAATTTAAACGGAATATTAATTTTTTTAAAAATATTATTTTTAAGGACCATCCGAACGTTTCAAGGTCCCGAATTTTTTAAAAGACTGTTTTAAGGAGTGCAACCTTTTTGCAGACAAGCCAGACGTAGAAGTTTTTTAAAAATATTTTTTCAGAAAAGAATTGCCTTAGATTAGTAAAAACATTTCAGGGAGTAGGACTTTTTTAAGAATATATCTTAACCTTGCTGTCCATCAATCCATTATATTATCATCTCTAGAGTCTCCAAGATTTCTTTTGACATCTGATATCTAAGATTTATCACTTCAAAGCCCAATTCACATGACATTGGCTTTGGTATTGTGTTTTGGCACTGGCGAACAATGCAATTGTTTGTTGTTTCTTCAAAATGCAATAATTATTTTGGATTTTCGTTTGAAAATTAATTTAATAATATGATTGTTATTGTCACCTCCAAAGTGTACACTGGAACTGGAACACATGTGGGAATATTTCGTGAGACACACACATGCACACACAAAAGCTGCGAGACAATGCTGTCTAATCTAATCAACAACGAGAATCATTTCATTATTTTAATTTACTCCCCCCTCCCCAAGCAACGCCTCCTTCTTCTTCAGGTTCGCAGAGGTTTCTTTGTTTTTTGTTTCTTTTTTAATTCAGCCGCCATTGCCTTGAATTTTTGCAAAAATTGTTTGTTTTATTTTCTCTGGTTGTTGTTGTTGTTGTAGGATGGCGTTATTATTGTTCGCATTGGTTCTAAGGTCAACTTTATTATGTTGCATTGAACTTGTTGCACCAAAAGAATCGTTGCTGTTACATTGTTGCACAATACCTTGAAAAAAGTTCAGTTCGGTTTTTGAATCGTTGGTTGTTTTTGTTGTTCGTGCAGGAAAAGTATTATTTTCATTGACAAATATGAGAGACAAGATTTAAAAATATAATATTTTAATTTCTCACAAAGAATGTTAAGGAGGTCCACAAAAATATGGAGGTGCTAAAAAATATTTATTTAAAATTCAAGTTAGAGGATCATTCTAATCTCTTTAAAAATCCGCGTTCAAGGGCTCTGGGAATGTCTTTTTAATTCCATAAAAAATAAATATTGAGGTCATTAAGAATGACTTTAATTTTTTTTAAAAAAATAATGTTTTTGGGCCTTCGTCTTTAATGATATGGGCCTAAAGAATATCATTCAAAATTCGTTTAAAAAATTACCATTGCTTGGCCCTGAGGACGCCTTTAAAAATCCACATTTGGGGACTATGAAAATCCTCTTTTTGCGATGATTTAAAAATTTTAAAAATACCTTGTTTGGAACATAAAAATTCTACGGTCCTTCAACAATTCTTTTAAAACTTACGTCACAAAATTTTTCGAAAAAATTATATTTTGGAGCATAAGAACGTATTCAAAAATGTTTAAAATTTTCCCTATTTGGAAACCTAACAATTCTTAAAAAAATTCACTTGGAAACAAAAACACCCTTGTTGGGAACTTTAACATTATTTTTTAAATCACCCTTTGGGAACCGCTAGAAAATCCTTGTTGGGCCAACTTCAAATAATAATAAAATAAGCTCAAAAATAATCTTTAAAAGTATACATTCGATGCTATTTAATATATCTTCAAAAAGGTTTCCTTCATAAAATTAAGATTCTTCAAGATTTATTGAAAATCCATCTTTATGGAAAATAATGTATGTTTTAAAAATAATTTATAAATAATCTATGTTTGAAGCTCATCGAAAAATAATCAATGTTTAAAGCTCATCGAAGGCCCAATTGTACAAGAAAATATAGGTTTTAGTGCTTTGAAACTCTATTAAAAATATCCCCTGACGTTATTCGTAAAAAATAACGAATGGGGTCCTTCAACAATTTTTATAAAATCTTTCTAAAAGTTATAAAAAACACTTTTTGAGGTTCTTTCAAATTTAAAATAAAAGACATTTTAAGTTCTTCAATCTTTTTTAAAACAATTATGATGGAACATTATTTAAAAGTTCACATTTAAAGTCCTTTGAATATTATTTAAAAAATCCTCGCTTAAGATCCTTCGATGATTATTTCAAGAATACACATTTAACGTCCTTTGAAGATTATATCATGAATTCACATTTATGGCCCTTTTTAAAAATCCACGTTTAAAGTCTTTTTAAAATTATTAAAAAATCCACGTTTATTGTCCTTTGAAAATTATTAAGCTATCCTAGTTTAACATCCTTCAAATATTATTTAAACTTCTACGTATGTAGATGATGTTCTTTAAAAATGATTTAAAAAAATCCAAGTTTAAGGTCCTTTAAAAATTATTTAAAAAAATCCAAGTTTGAGGTCCTTTAAAAATTATTTAAAAAAAATCCAAGTTTAAGGTCCTTTAAAAATTATTTAAAAAATCAACGTTTAAGGTCCTCTGAAAATTGATAAAAAAATCCACGTTTAAAGTCCTGTGAAAATTAATTAAAAAATCCACGTTTAATGTCCTGTGAAAATTAAATAAAAAAACCACGTCCACGTTTAAGATCCTTTGACGTCCTTTGAAAATTATTTAAAACTTCCACGTTTAAAATCCTTTAAGGTCCTTTGAAAATTATTGAAAAAATCCAAGTTTAAAGTCTTTTAAAATTTCTTTTAAAAGTCCACGTTTAAGGACATTTAAAAAATATTTAAAATTTCTTTTAAAAGTCCACGTTTAAGGACATTTAAAAAATATTTAAAATTTCTTTTAAAAGTCCACGTTTAAGGACATTTAAAAAATATTTAAAATTTCTTTTAAAAGTCCACGTTTAAGGACATTTAAAAAATATTTAAAATTTCTTTTAAAAGTCCACGTTTAAGGACATTTAAAAAATATTTAAAATTTCTTTTAAAAGTCCACGTTTAAGGACATTTAAAAAATATTTAAAATTTCTTTTAAAAGTCCACGTTTAAGGACATTTAAAAAATATTTAAAATTTCTTTTAAAAGTCCACGTTTAAGGACATTTAAAAAATATTTAAAATTTCTTTTAAAAGTCCACGTTTAAGGACATTTAAAAAATATTTAAAATTTCTTTTAAAAGTCCACGTTTAAGGACATTTAAAAAATATTTAAAATTTCTTTTAAAAGTCCACGTTTAAGGACATTTAAAAAATATTTAAAATTTCTTTTAAAAGTCCACGTTTAAGGACATTTAAAAAATATTTAAAATTTCTTTTAAAAGTCCACGTTTAAGGACATTTAAAAAATATTTAAAATTTCTTTTAAAAGTCCACGTTTAAGGACATTTAAAAAATATTTAAAATTTCTTTTAAAAGTCCACGTTTAAGGACATTTAAAAAATATTTAAAATTTCTTTTAAAAGTCCACGTTTAAGGACATTTAAAAAATATTTAAAATTTCTTTTAAAAGTCCACGTTTAAGGACGTTTAAAAAATATTTAAAATTTCTTTTAAAAGTCCACGTTTAAGGACATTTGAAAATTATTTTAAAAATTCACGTTTAAGGACATTTGAAAATTATTTTAAAAATCCACGTTTAAGGACATTTGAAAATTATTTTAAAAATCCACGTTTAAGGACATTTGAAAATTATTTTAAAAATCCACGTTTAAGGACATTTGAAAATTATTTTAAAAATCCACGTTTAAGGACATCTGAAAATTATTTTAAAAATCCACGTTTAAGGAAATTTGAAAATTATTTAAAAATTCTTTTGAAAATCCACGTTTAAGGACATTTGAAAAATATTTAAAAATTCTTTTAAAAATCCACGTTTAAGGACATTTGAAAAATATTTAAAAATTCTTTTAAAAATCCACGTTTAAGGACATTTGAAAATCATTTAAAAATTATTTTAAAAATCCACGTTTAAATACATTTGAAATATATTTAAAAATTCTTTTAAAAATCCACGTTTAAGGACATTTGAAAATTATTTAAAAATTATTTTCAAAATCCACGTTTAAGGTCCTTTGAAATTAAATTAAAATAATCCACGTTTAAGGTCCTTTGAAAATTATTGAAAAAAATCCTTATTTGAGGTCCTTTGAAAATTATTTAAAAAATCTGCATTTGAGTTTCTCCAAAATATATTTTAAAAATCCACTTTAAGGGCACATCTATAATTTTCTATGCTGCCCTCTTTCCATTTTCGGGAAATAAGAAAATTCTTTGAGTTTGTGTGTGTGTGTTTTTGGTTACTTTATTACAAATACAACTACAAAAATGTTCTTTATAATAATTTTCCTCCATCCCCCATTTGCTTAGTCACCATTTATATCGCCCACCTGGGAAATTGCATAATTCATGACAGAACCTCCTCCACCAGCCCCACCATTATGGCTGGCCGAGGCCCAGCTACGCCTTGGCAAAATGCGTCCGAAATTAAAATACTTCTGCCTCAGCTTATCCTTAATCTCATCTTCATTCATTATGGCACTGGCCTCACGAAAGTTGAGAAAAATCCTACCCTTCTCATCGGTTTTAATGGGCAGAATTTCGGTACAGACATTACGAGCCTTGAGCATGAAACCCTCCTTTTCGCCGGAACTTTCACGATCACGGCCGTTCTCATGGTCCTTGGCCTTGTTGTGATGCGGCTCTGGACCATTATTGCCATTGCAATCTAAGCGTGAATCCACGGATTGGGACCGGGAGGGCTTTGGACCCATGGTATTGCAATGTTTCTTTTTGTTGCGCAAACAAAATGGGTCCCTATCGCTGGCCTTGACATATTGGACCACGGGCCGATTGACACCCCACTTGGGTCGTTCATCGATTTTGTTATGGCCCTCCTTGCCATGGCGTTTCTTATCCTTATCCTTAGATTTGGCCTTGAAAGTTGTGGTAGTGGTGGTCGTCGTGGTGGTTGTGGTTTCTTGATCCTTTTCCGTTTCCTTGGCAGGTTTATTGGTCTTGGACGTCTGGGTCGTTGTGGTGGTGGATACCTCCCGTTTTAGAAGGACTTTATAGAAATTGTCATGGAACAAACAGAGATCGCAATTCAAAGGCAACTCAGTTTGGGTTTCCACATCCTGGCAATGTTTGGCGACATTTTCATCCTTCACTAACTCCTCCATAGACTCTTCACTCTCCAGCTGCTTGGGATGCTGCTGGAGGGGAATCAAAGCCATTTCATTCTGCTGTTGCTGCTGCTCTTCCACATCCTCCACAATCTCCTCCACCTGAGTGTATTTATGCTGATTACTTTGGCGACTTTCCGTCACTGTCCTTGGAGTTTCAGGTGGCTGATAGCCCTCCTCTGTACAAATTGACGTATCTGTCCTCTGAGTAAAAGCTCCGCCGGTTGTTTTGGAAAAATCCGTATCCGTATTGGCTGTATGGGGTTGAAGTTGTTGCTGCATGAAATATGTGGCAATTTGCAGATTTCCTATGGCATTTTGTAGGCCATAGATGTCTGTGGTCACGGGCAGGGGTATCAGGGTGGCCGGTTGCATAATGACCACATTTTCTGTGGCTTTGGGTTCCTTTTTCTTTTCCTCTGCTTCAATATTTTGTGGTGCTGGGGGTTGTGGTGCTGGGGGTTGTATGGGTTTGCTGAAGGTTCTCCGTAAATTAATGGGAGTGCCAATCAACACCTTGTCCTCTTGTGGGTCCATGGGCACAGACTCATTTTCCACAGAGGGTGGCTCCGAAGATACTATTCTCTTCTCTTCCTTTTGCTCGCCCATCTCAACATTCAAAACATCCACAATTTTCTGTTCCTTTTTCACGATTTCAGCAACCTGATGATTTCTTCCAGAATCCCTCAGCAAATCCTCCTCCTTAGATTCTTCAATGTTCTCTTTACTCTCCCTCAGCTTATTTCTCTTCTTTTGCTTCTCCATTTTTGCCGCCATCTCCGCCTTGGCAATGGCCTCCAGCATGGCCTCCTGCTTACGCCTCTGAGCCTCCTCCCTTTCGAGCTGTTGACGTCGTTCCATTTCCAAACGTTCCTGTTCCATTTGTTTCTGCTTGCGTACCCTCTCCTCCTCTTGCTGTTCCTCTTGACGATGTTTCTCCATTTCCCAGCGACGTTGACTCTCCCGCTCCAAGAGCTGTTGTTTTATGGCTTCATGATACTCGGCCGCCTTGCGTTTTTTATCCAAACGTTCTGCCATTACATGTGGTTCGATGGGAGCATTTTGTCCCCGCAGATAGCAGGAGGATGAGAGCACAGATTGGGTATCATCTTCACTGTCCTTCAGCTCGTGCAGGCCACGACTTAGCCAGCCGGGACCAAATTGTTGTTTTGCCTGCATATCCTGTGACTGCTGATTGTAGTTCCATTTGGCGCGTTCTCGTTCTTCCTGTGAGTGGTGCTGATAGATTTCCGATTCGTCGGTGTGATGGACTTCATAGGTGTTCGATGTAGATATATCGCGGCTCTGAAGGCTGACCGGGGAACCAGCGGTGACGTAGTAACTGGAAGAAAAGAAAAAAGAAATAAGAGGAATGCTTTAATTTCTTTTATGGAGACATGAAAAATGTTTTTATAAAAAATCCAATCCTATCGATACTTGAAAAAATATTTAAAAAAAAAAATCACGGCTATGGATACCTGAAAAAATATTTTTTTAAAAAAATCCACTCCTATCGATACTTGAAAGAAATATTTTTAACAAAAATCCACGGCAATGGATACCTGAAAAAATATTTTTTTAAAAAAATCCACGGCAATGGATACTTCAAAAATATTTTTTTTTAACATCCACCCCTATGGATACTTGAAAAAAATATTTTTTTAAACATCCACGCCTATGGATACTTGAAAAAAAATATTTTTTTAAAAAAATCCACGCCTACGGATACTTGAAAACAATATTTTCTTAAAAATCCACGCCTATGGATACTTAAAAAAATATATTTTAAAGAATCTTCACCTATGGATTTTTGGAATTTTTTTTGTAAAACCACGTCTATGGATATTTGGAAAAAAATATTTTTTAAAAAGTACACGCCTTTGGATATTTGGAAAAAATATTAAAAAAAAAATCCACGCCTATGAATACTTAAAAAAAATATTTTTTTAAAAATCCATGCCCATGGATATTGGGAAAAATGTTTTTATTAAAAATCCATGCCCATGGATATTGGGAAAAATGTTTTTATTAAAAATCCATGCCCATGGATATTGGGAAAAATATTTTTATTAAAAATCCATGCCTATGGATACTTGGGGAAAAATATATTATTAAAAATCCACGCCTATGGATACTTGGAAAAAAATATATTTTAAAAAATCCACGAATATAGACACTTGGGAAAAAAATATTTTTTAAATAATCCATGCCTATGGACAATTGGGAAAAAATATTTTTATTAAAAATCCACGCCTATGGACACATGGGAAAAAATACTTCTATTAAAAATCCACGCCTATGGACGCTTGGGAAAAAATATTTCTATTAAAAATCCACGCCTATGGATATTTAGAAAAAATATTTTTAAAAAATCCAGGCCTATGGATATTTGGAAAAAATATTTTTAAAAAATCCAAGCCTTTGGACACTTGGGAAAAAATATTTCTATTAAAAATCCACGCCTATGGATATTTAGAAAAAATATTTTAAAAAAATCCAGGCCTATGGATATTTGGAAAAAATATTTTTAAAAAATCCAAGCCTATGAATATTTGGAAAAAATATTTTTAAAAAATCCAAGCCTTTGGACACTTGGGAAAAAATATTTCTATTAAAAATCCACGCCTTCTGATATTTGGACAAAAATATTTCTATTAAAAATTCACGCCTATGAATACTTGGAAAAATATTTTAAAAAAATCCACGCGTATGGATATTTAGAAAAAAAAACATTACTAAAAATTCAAACCTATGATATTTTTATATATTTTATTTAAATCCATGCCTATGTTTTTATGTTTTTTTTTTTAAATCCACGGGAAAAAATATATTTTTAAAAAATCCACCTTTGGGGGTTCATGGGAAAAATATTTTTTTTTAAATCCAACGTTGAGGGTTCATGGAAAAAATATATTTTTTAAAATCCACATTTGGCGGTTGATTGAAAAACTATTTTTAAAAAATCCCCGCTTGATGGTTCATTGAAAAAATATTTTAAAAAAGATCCACGTTTGATTGTTCATTGAAAAAATATTTTTTTAAAAATCCACGTTTGATTGTTCATTGAAAACATATTTTTTTAAAAATGTACGTTTGATGGTTAATTGAAAAAAAACTTTTTTTAAATCCACGTTTGATGGTTCATTGAAAAAATATTTTTTTTAAAAATCTACGTTTGATAGTTCATTGAAAAAATATTTTTTTAAAAATCCACGTTTTATTGTTCACGGAAAAAATATTTTTCAAAAAATCCACGTTTGATTGTTTGTTGAAAAAATATTTTTTTTTAAAAAATCCACGTTTGATGGTTCATTGAAAAAATATTTTTTTAAAAATCCACGTTTGATTGTTCATTGAAAAAATATTTTAAAAAAGATCCACGTTTGGTTGTTCATTGAAAAAATATTTTTTTAAAAATCCACGTTTGATTGTTCATTTGAAAAATATTTTTTTAAAAATCCACGTTTGATTGTTCATTGAAAAAATATTTTTTTTAAAAATCCACGTTTGATTGTTCATTGAAAAAATATTTTTTTTTAAATCCACGTTTGATTGATAATTGCAAAAATATTTTTTAAAAAATTCACGTTTGATGGTTCATTGAAAAAATATTTTTAAAAAAATCCACGTTTAATGGTTATTGGAAAAAATATTTTTTTAAAAATCCACGTTTGATTGTTCATTTGAAAAATATTTTTTTAAAAATCCACGTTTGATTGTTCATTGAAAAAATATTTTTTTTAAAAATCCACGTTTGATTGTTCATTGAAAAAATATTTTTTTTTAAATCCACGTTTGATTGATAATTGCAAAAATATTTTTTAAAAAATTCACGTTTGATGGTTCATTGAAAAAATATTTTTAAAAAAATCCACGTTTAATGGTTATTGGAAAAAATATTTTTTTAAAAATCCACGTTTGATGTTTTATTAAAAAAATATTTTTTTTTTAAATCCACGTTTGATGGTTCATTGAAAAAATATTTTTTTTTAAATCCACGTTTGATGGTTCATTGAAAAAATATTTTTTTAAAAATCCACGTTTGATGGTTCATTGAAAAAATATTTTTTAAAAATCCACGTTTGATGGTTAATTGAAAAAATAATTTTTAAAAAATCCACGTTTTATTGTTCATGGAAACAACATTTTTTTAAAAAATCCACGTTTGATGCTTCTTTGAAAAAATATTTTTTTTAAATCTAAATTTGATGTTTCCTTGAAAAAATAATTATTAAAAAATCCACGTTTGATTGTTCATTGAATAAATATTTTTGTAAAAAATCCACGTTTGATGGTTCATTAGAAAAATATTTTTTAAAAAATCCATGCCTATGGATACTTGCAAAAATATTTTTTCCTTCAAATAATACTACGAAATGCTCCTAAAAACAATCGTTTATGTCCATTCTATGTCTCATCCTTTTTTATTTCGAAATTAAATACCTAAAATATCATAATTGGTTGGCCAATGACCTCTAAGGACTTATTTGCATGTCAGCTATGGTTTCCCCAAAAACCCAACTTCCCATAAAAATCCTATTAATAAATGTCTCTGCCACCATTTAGGTTAATTATTTAATATCGCCTCCTACTCACCCTCCTTGGTAGGGCTTTCCTGGTGGGTTATTTACTGCCTCGACACCCAAGCCATCGTCATCATATTCCACAACATGTTGTTGTTGTTGCTGCTGCTGGTGTTGCGAGCCTCGACGTTTCACAATATATGTTTTGTTCAATATGTGTTCCTCATTTTGCGTTTGTTGACCTTTGGCAGCCTTCATTAATAACAGTTGCTGTTGTTGGTGTTGTTGTTGGCTTTGCTGTTGGTAGTGATGTTGTTGTTGCTGCTGCTGTTGTATATAATGTTGTTGCTGCTGTTGATTTGTTGTTATCGATCTCTTACCCCTGCGTGTTGTCACGTATTCCATATCCGAATTGGCTGTATGGCCTTGCAGAAGGCTACTACTGTCGGCTGCACTGGTTATACTCTCCACTTGACTCGCTCCATCGTTGAACCAAATATTGGGTGTATGGATATTTTTCGGGGAATCACTTAAATACCCTGAGGTATCTTCCTCTTGGCAACCAAGCCCGGGTGGGGGTGGCGGAAATTGTTGATGGTGTTGCTGAGGAAATTGTTGTTGGCTTTGTTTGTTGGTTTTGTTTAGCCGAAGTTGTTGCTGTTGGGATTGTGTGATGGTATGGTGTTGCTGCTGGTTACTAACCACACCACCACCCCCAACCCCTCCGCAATCAACACTTACCAGTTGTGTATTGGTATTTGACGGCTTCCCCGTGGGTTTATTGGCCTGCTGATAGGCCACATAGTCACGATGACGTATTACCGGCAGGCTGGGACTCCTTATGCGTTGCTGGGTCTGCATGCGACCCTTGGCAGTTTGTAGGGTACTGGGCATCAACTCGACATAGGCATATTTGCGCTGACCCGGAATTTGAGACATTTGACTGGTACTGTTGTGGCGTTGATTCAACAGCACAGGACGTCCATTGTTGTGCTGATATTGGCTACCTCTTCGTAGGGGTATATAGGCCTCACCTATATCCTCGAAATCGGCTTCGTTACCCATATCCTCATCATCACCAATGTAGTTGTTCATGTAATCGAAATTTTGGCCTCTTGCCTTGGGTTTGAGTGCTTGGCTGCGCGGCACCAAGGCATGCATATTTTCTGGGTCTATGGGTGGTGAGAGTAAATCTGAGTTCGGTGATAGCTGGGAGTGTGATTGATGATGATTTTGTTGTTGTTGGTGCTGCTGTTGTTGATATAAATGTTGTCGAGAATTTTTCCTCGTTGTTTGGCTCAAATCCAGATTGGAATAAAATGTGCGTATGGAAGTGCGTTCTATTTTTTGGTGATGATGATGCGTGGATGATGATGAGTGGACGGAAGAAAACATTTCATCCAGTTTGGCAATTTCCTCTGGAAAGAGAAAATTTTTTTTTTTAATCCGCGCTAGTGGGTTCATTAAAAAACTATTTACAAAAACCCTGCATATTATGGTTCATGGAAAAAATATTTTTAAAAAGTCAATGTTGGATAGTTATTTGAAAAAATATTTTTTTACAAAATCCACATTTGTTGGTCCATGAAAAAATATTTTTTTAAAAAATCCACATTTGAAATCATATTTTTTAAAAAAAATCCACATTTAATGGTTCGTTACAAGAATATTATTTAAAAAAATCCACGTTTGGTGGTCCATGAAATCATATTTTTAAAAAATCCATGTTTGATGGTTCGTCAAAAGAATATTTTTTGAAAAATCCACGCTTGATGGTTCGTCAAAAGAATATTTTTTAAAAAATTCGCGTTTGACGGGCAATCGGAAAAAATATTAGTTGAAAAATCCACATTTGACGGTCAATCGGAAAAAAATGCACGTTTGTTGGTTCGTAAAAGAATATTTTTTAAAAAATCCACGTTTGATGGTTCGTCGAAAGAATATTGTTTAAAAAATCCACGTTTGATGGTTCGTCGAAAGAATATTTTTTAAAAAATCCACGTTTGATGGTTCGTCAAAATAATATTTTTTAAAAAATCCACGTTTGACGGGCAATCGGAAAAAATATAAGTTAAAAAATCCACATTCGGAAAAAATATATTTTTTTAAAAATCCACGTTTGACGGTCAATAGGAAAAAATATTTTTTAAAAAATCCACGTTTGATGGTCAATCGAAAAAAATATTTTTAAAAAAATCCATGTTTGATAATCTGTTTGGAAAAATTTTTTTTTAAAAATCCACGTTTAATGATTGGTTAGAAAAATATTTTCTAAAAAATCCACGTTCGATGGTCTATTAGAAAAAAATTTAAAATCCATGTAAGGTGGTCCATTGAAAAAAATTTTAAAAATCCACCAAAGATGGTCCATTGAAAAAAAGGCCATCGAAAAAATATTTTTTAAAAAATCAACCTTTGATTGTCCATCGAAAAAAATTTTTTTTTAAAAATCCACGTTCGATAATTCATTTAAATTTTTTCTTTAAACATCCACGCCTGAGCAAGTTTCGAAAAAATATTCTCTGAAAAAAAATATTTTTTTAATAAATCCATGCCTAAGCATGATTCGATAAAATATTTTTTTTAAAAGTTGACGCCTAAGGATGCGTAGAAAAAATATTTTGTAAAAAATCCAGGCCTAAGGATACCCTGAATTTTTGTTTAAATCCACGCCTAAGGATACTCTAAATAAACATTTTTTTAAAAAATCCACGAATAAGGATTTTTTACAAAAAAAAAAAAAAAATTATAAATCCACGAATAAGGATTTTTTACAACGCCTAAAAATGTTTCGAAAAAATATTTTTTTTTAATAATTCCACGCCCAAGCATGTTTTGAAAAAATCCACGACTATGGATGCTAGGAAAAAATATTTTATAAATGATCCATGCTAAGGATACTCTGATAAAAAATATTTTTTAAAAAATCCACACCTGAAGATACTCTGAAAAAATATTTTTTTAAAAAATCCACGAAAAAAAATATTTTGTAGAAAATCCACTACTAAGGATACCTTAAAAAATAATTTGTATATATCCACGCATAAGGATACTTTAAGAAAATATTTTTTTAAAAAAATCCAAATTTAAGGGTAATTTAAAAAATTATTTTGTTTTAAATCTACGAATAGGGATACTTTAAAAAATAATATTTTTGTAAAAAACCACGCCAATGTATATTTTGCAAAAGTCTTTTTTTGTTTAAAAAAAAATATTTGTTTTTAAACCACGCCAATGTATACTTCAGAAAAATATGTTTTTAAAAATCTACGGCTATGGATACTTAAAAAAATCCCCACATATGGATTCTTTTAACATTTTTTAAAATCCACTCTTATGAAAGAATCTATATTTTACGTTATAAGTTTTTTTTAATCCACTTGCTTTTTCAACCTACTCTTAATTGTTTTTTGAAAAATTTGTTTTTTTAAGAAATCCACTCTTGATTATCCTTGAAAATTTTCTCCTTGTGAAAAATTCCTTCTTCGATCCTGGAACCATCTCAAGACTTACCTTTTTCTTTGGCCCATTGTTGTTTCTTTAAATCCAGTAGTGTGTGATTTTGTCGGCCTTCCGAACCCGTAATCATAACTATAACATAAAAAAAAAATAAAACAGGAAGTCATTAAATTTTATCACTTCATCAGCTCCGGTCAGTGGCCAAAAGGTTTATTGGCCTTTTAAGTGCCACAAAAACAACAAAAATATTTTTGGCCACCAAAAATAGTGACCCCCACCCTTTATGGAATTCCACCAAAAAATTTATTATTTTTCCCCAAAACACTTCACGCAAAAAAATACCTTTACTATGTTGGAAGCCTTAAATAAGACTAAATGCTAGGCGCAATAATTTTTAGCAACGTGGAAATTCCTTTGGTATCCTTAACTTCTTGTTTTTTTGTTCCTCTGGTTTCCTTGTTACCACTTCGACTTGTTTATTTGCCCAAAAATATTTCAACTTCTTCCTACGTTTTGCCACAAGTCAATAACTTCCTTGCCATACTTTGAGATTTTTTTCTGTATGCCTTGGTATTTTTCGAGTTTTTTTTTTTTGCTTTCATATCCTTGTTGTCCTTGGCAACCATATGGCCTGTGTCACATGTCTTCTAGCCTAAAGAGGGGGCTCGTTTCTAGCCTTAGTAATTTGTTAGCAACATATGTTTTGTAAACAAACTTATTTGACAGTTCAATGGGAGCGAAGAAAAAGCTTTTCGTGTAGCATGTAACTAGGTGACGATGAACTGTCAAGTTTAAACACAGGAAAGCTTGGCAGTTCAATAAAGTTAGTTGGTAGTGAAAAATTTTCAATTTATTATGAAATTGAAAAGAATCAAGGATATTTGTTGGGAAATTCAATTTCGAATCAATATTAAAAAAATAATATTTTTATGTTTAAAATAAATCAAGGATTTTTCATGATTTTTATTTTTTTATTTTATTTGTTTTATTTTATATATATAGTCGTAAATTTTTAAAAAAATATTTTTTTCAGAGTATCCTTAGGCGTGGATTTTTTAAAAAATATTTTTTTAAAGTATCCTAAGGCGTGGATTTTTAATAAATATTTTTATAGTATCCTTTGTCGTGGATTTTTTACATAATATTTTCTTAAGGTATCCTTAGAGTGGATTTTAAAAAAAAATTTTGTATAGTATCCTTTGTCGTGGATTTTTTAAAAAAATATTTTTTATAGTATCCTTAGTCGTGGATTTTTTAAAAAGATTTTGTTATAGTATCCTTAGTCGTGGATTTTTTAAAAAATATTTTTTTTAAAGTATCCTTAGGCGTGGATTTTTTAAAAAAATATTTTGTTATAGTATCCTTAGTCGTGGATTTTTTAAAAAATATTTTCTTAAAGTATCCTTAGGCGTGGATTTTTTAAAAAAAATATTTTGTTATAGTATCCTTAGTCGTGGATTTTTTAAAAAAATATTTTCTTAAAGTATCCTTAGACGTGGTTTTTTTAAAAAAATATTTTGTTATAGTATCCTTAGTCGTGGATTTTTTAAAAAATTTTTAGTCGTGGATTTTAAAGTATCCTTAGGCGTGGATTTTTTAAAAAAAATATTTTGTTATAGTATCCTTAGTCGTGGATTTTTTAAAAAATATTTTCTTAAAGTATCCTTAGTCGTGGATTTTTTAAAAAATTTTTAGTCGTGGATTTTAAAGTATCCTTAGGCGTGGATTTTTTAAAAAAAATATTTTGTTATAGTATCCTTAGTCGTGGATTTTTTAAAAAATATTTTCTTAAAGTATCCTTAGGCGTGGATTTTTTAAAAAAATATTTTTTGAAATAAATCAAGGATTCTTCATGATTTTTATTTATATATATATATATATATATATATATATATATATATATATATATATATATATATATATATATATATATATATATATATATATATATATATATATATATAAATTTTTTTTTGTTTTTGAAACCAATATCCTCAACCACAATTAACGATAATTTCGATGGAAAAAAAATGTACGTACTTAAGAAACTCGTTCAAAAAAACTCGTTCAAAAAAACTCGTTCAAAAATCCCAGGAAAAAAGAATTCTATCAAATACTGCTTGATTTTCGATTAATTCAACAAAAATAAATTAATTTCTTTTTAAGCTTATAATAAAAATCTTAAATTTAAAATTGAATACCACATTTTATAATTACAAAAGAATTTAGCAAAATAATTTGCCAAAATTACACAAGTACCATCCCCACATCTACATATCCATGTAGACATGGCTGGCATTTGTGATTTGCGCAAAAGATCTGTTTAAAGTTTAATTACAACTGTCAGTTTTCTGTAGTCCACTGTGATGTTTTAAATGAAATAAAATAATATTTATGGTTTTCGGTCTCATAAATAGTTATACACGTTGCGGTGAGGACAGGTATGGTCAAATTTGAAGCAACTTACACAGATAATAGTTCAAGAGAACGAAATAAATGCAAGAAGTAGAAAACAAAATAATTGTGTAAAATATTTTGTTGCAGTATGGTTTCAATCATAGGCATAGGTCAAGAAGTAGGGATATCGATTCTGAAAAATTATATAAAAAAATTGACGAAATAATAGGCTTTAAACAATTTCTTAATATTTTTTAATTTTAAAGAAGAAAACCCTAAACGTAAATTATTTAAAAAAATCTTAATAATAAACTTTTAAAAAATTATATAACAATCTAAAATAATATAAGAGTAGAGTAGTTGACTGACTAAACGATCCATCAACGTCCCCACGAAACGGCTGAAACTAGAATCTGGAAATTTGGGTGTGACCCTCACCCTGTGACTTTTAGTCCCAAGGGGACAGATAAGACTGTATTTTTGGAAATTCATACTAGAAAGGTAGGAAAAATATTAATAGTACCACATATGGTACATTTTGTATTCGAGGAAGCTCACTGACCGACTTAACGATAAAGTAAAAATACATCTGAAGCTAGAATCTTGACATTTTGGATGAGGGTCACTCTTGGTTCGAGGGGGTCAGATAAAACTGGGTTTTTGGAAATTCGTGCTATAACGATACAAATACTATTAAAAGGTACTAAATATGGTGCCCTTTGTATTCGAGGAAGTTCCCTGACTGACTTAAGGATTCATCAACGCCCTGACGAAACGGCTGAAGCTAAAATCTTGACATTTTGGATGAGGGTGACCCTCGGTCCGAACCAATCACATAAGGCTGTTTTTTTGGAATTGCGTAGTAGAGCGACACGAAAAGTATTAAATGTTACTAGATATGGTAGCCTTTGTATTCGAGGAATTAGGATCACTGATAATGTGAATGATAGATGTACCAAAGGGTTTTTGGAAATTCGCACTATAAATGTACGAAAAGTACTAAAGTGAACACATTTGGCACCATTTCGTATCATGTCAACGGTTAGACCTAAAAACTTGAAATTTTGAATGGGAATCAAGGTTGAGGAGTAGAGTCGATGTAAGGAGATAGTTTTGAAAGTGTGTTCTCATGTATACGAAAAATACTGAACGGTACTAAATTTTGTACAATTTGAATTTGGAAGCTGGAATCCTGAAATTTGAAATTAACATTACTGACGGAGTTTATGATTCGGCTATGGACGAAGTTTTCGAAATTTGTATTTATGTGCACGAAAGGTACTAAATTTGGTACAATTTCGATATGGGTGAACCGATTGTGGTGGAATTCTGAAACCTAGAAATAAGATAACTATTGCATTTTTAGACTGAAGAATGTAGCAAGTTTAAGTTTTAAGATTAGTATCGGAGTGTAGGATTGGAATATGTATGTAGTTTTGGAAATTTGTACTTATATGTACTAAATAAAGTACAATTTGTATTTGGACGAACCAACCGAGATGAAATCCTAAAATTTGTAGTTGGAATTGCTGAGGGAGTGCTGGATTGAGGTATGTAGGAAGCTTCGGAAATTCGTACTTATGTATACTAAATTTGGTACAAATGGGAATTATGATGAACCGATGGAAATGGCATTCTGAAATTTAGAATGAAAGTCACTGATAGAGTGTTTTTTGGAAATTCGATCTTTAAATTTAGGAAATATTCTAAAATGGTACTAACCCTCTAAACTGGAACCATTTGGTAAAAAACTTGAAATTTTGTATGAACACGAATTAAGACATTCAAACGGTCATAGAAACCGTCACACGCTGCCCGAATGTTGCTCTGCGGTATTTTGGTCCATTCCCGGCGACGCGCTTACTTGAGGTGATCGACACTTTGGTATTTTTTTAGTACCAGCCTTGCTTACCAAAATACTCCAGACACAATAGTCCAACGGATTGGTATCCATTTGTGCGCTGGAAATGAAGCGAGGAACCTCATTTTGTAACCATTCTTGGGTGACGCGTGCTGAGTGCGATGGTGCTGAGTCCTGTTGGAAGGACCAAGGTCTCTGGCCAAAATGCTTGCGTGCCCATGGCTTTAATACACCCTCCAGAATATTTTCGTGATAATATTCGGCATTTATTCTGATGCCACTGTCAAATAATACAAACGGAGAGGACCATCGGCTGTTATGGCGACCCACACCATCACCATGGCCGGCACTTGAGTCTGGTGTCTGGTGGCCAACCGAAGGTGCACATTTTCAGCTGACCTCTTTGGCAAGTAAACACGATCATTTAGTTTGTTTACAAATTGCTGGACCACGAATGTTTTTTCATCGGAGATCGGAGAAAACCAAATTCGGCAGTTCACCACTTTTGGTGGTGGCCAAGGGAAGCAACTCTTTACCTCTTTTGAGACTATTTTCTTTCTGTTGCGGCGTAAGTTCGTGCACTTTTTGGAATTTTAATGGCTTTACCCCGAGCTCATTTTTCAATATTTGCCGAATGGAATATTGCGATATGTTCAGCTCACGAGCCATTTTTCGGTCACTGCGACGCGGGTTTCAATCAAGTCGCTTCTTTACTTTTCGAACCATTTCTGCTGATGTTACTGTTTTCTTCCGTCCACTTCCTTGACGTCGGGCTACGCTACCAGCATCACGGTAACGAGCGATGGAACGAGACACAAACGATTTATTCACATTTAAATGCTGGAGTGCTCTAACGATAGCCACTTGTGGTTTCCCCGGCCAAATTGCCTGTTGGAAAATATTTTTTAATAAATCCTCATGTGATGGCCATGTTGAAACGTATTTCGAAAAAAATCCATGTTTAATAGAACTTTAAATAAAATCTAACATTTCAGAATATATATTTTCAAAATAAATCAATGTTGATATTTAAAAAAGGACCAGTTAAAAATTCGTGACTTCTTCTAAAAAAAAATAAAAAATCTACTTTGAGGAATTCCTTGAAAAAAATATTTTTGAAAAAATTCACCTTTGAGGGATTCCTTTAAAAAATATGTTTTAAAAAAATCCACTTTTAAGGGGTTCTTTCAAAAAAATATTTTTTAAAAGTCCACGTTTAAGGAATTCATTTAAAAAAATATTTTTAAAAAATCCACGTTTGAGGAATTCCTTTAAAAAATATGTTTTTAAAAAATCCACTTTTGAGGGATTCTTTCAAAAAAATATTT